GCAGTGTAGGGGTACTTGCTCTCGTACCCCTGAAGTAGAGTTCACCCTAGTCTCTACTTTGAAGAGTCCTTTGTCTAGGATCTCTCTTTTAGCCTTTGGGGGAACAGGCGGCATGCTGCGGCCGCCTGCAAGAAGAGGCGGATCCCTGTTCCACTTGTTAAATCGTTTGTTCAGCTCCGTGTCTGAACTCTCGATAATAAGGAAGGTGTTCCGCCAATCCTTCCATTTGTTTGCCTTACCTCTCGTCATGAGGTAACCCCTGTGGCTTGTTAGTTGATACCAGCCGGTACCTCCCGACTTAGGGGTCCGGCTGAGATAGTTCATGTGGGCGAAAGCCTCAAAACTTGGCTCCACCCCGTTCAGTTCGCACCCGGCCACATAGCCGAGTACGTTTACCCAAGAGTTGGGGGCTAACTGCCATAACCCCAGATCATACCCATCTAAAATCCGCTGAACAGCCGGATGTAATGGGAAGCGCAGACCAGCTTTGATGGCCGCCACATAGCAGCCAAAACAGCCGTCACCATAGCTGGTACCAGCCGGCCAGACGACAGTATCTTCTGGATCCGGCACAAACAGTAAATACTCCGGGCCCATTTTGTGGTTAGCAATAAAGCTCGCCACGTTGTCTCGCATGGTTGCGATCCGGCCCCGGGGCACCCTGCAGTAGTAGGGGGTGTTTTCCTCTCTGTAAGAGGCGGACGGCTCTGCCCAATTATCCCCCTTCTCCACTGCATGGGAACTTCTCGCCTCTTGTAGGCGGTTATGTTTTTCTTCTGAGTCAGAAGAACTATGGTCAGAAGAGCTGGAATCGGACTCGTCCCCTGACGAGTCCGAAGAGGACGACTCCTCCCCTCTCCTAGAGGGGCCCGCCTCCTCTCCCTTAGAAGGAGCAGAAGGTAAATTGGACATGTCCACGGTTAGATGAGAAGGGAACACCTTGGTCCCTCTCTCAGAACTGTCAGCTTGACAGTCGCCTCGTTCCACATCTGGCGCCTGGTCAGATGTTTCGCTAAGGAGTACCCTTTGGGAGGAGCCGTCTGAGTTTGATATTCTAGCAGTCTTTTTTGTTCTGGCCATCACGTTCTGCATAGACACAGATTCAGTCGGACTTTGTATAAAGGGCAAAGATGGGTCCAGAAAAGGGCAGGCGGCACTCCTAGTCCTAGATTCAGCCGTCCCCGGTGACCGGCTGATCACTAACTTAGGGCGTGTCGTGTGCTTCCATGGTGCCATTTCAAAAAATAAAAAGAAAATTAAGAGTAAGAGAACTGAGTTACCTGAACGGATGACAGTTGATGAAGTCCTGGAAGTTCGGGTCAGTCGGCTTGTCAGAACAGGCGGTAGGCAGAAAAAGTCCGAAAATGTCAGAGCAAGTTCAGGGGTCCGAGTGTTCTCGCAAAAATTCTCAAATGTGAAAATGACCGAAGTCAGCACTTCCTTTTATAGGCAAAATGAGAAGGCGAAGGGTCGCTTCCGAATTCAAATTTGGGCGGGAGAGTCTCCCGGCCGTCTGCAAGGTGACACCTGTAACGGGCCGTCGCCTGTCACCGTGCGACACCTGTCACAGGCGACACGTGACCAGTCGCGTGCCACCTGTGAGGGGCAAATGATTAGGGGATTTTTATCCACCAAGCGCCGTTTGACAAGTGGACCAACCAGGTTCCGCCACGCGTCCTCCACGGACCACTTAAGACACGCCACGTGTCCACCCATGCCAAATGGGACAACCGGCCATCAAGGCCCATTTCAGTCTAGAAGCCCGATCGGCCCTAGGTTTACCTTAAACCTAGAGAGTTGCACGCTTCCCAAGGCTATAAATACTCGATTAATCCTCATTAATCGAGGGACCGACTAATTAACAGAACACACTAATAACCGGCTGATCTCGCTAGCAAAGCAGATTACCTACATTAAATACTCTCACCTAGAGAGACCTTTTTACTTTAATTTCTGTATTAATTACTCCTTAATCGGGTACTAACTTGACCGTTGGAGGCGGAGCTCTCAGGAGTCTCCGTTATTTTGCAGGTACAGGCGTCCGGTTCCAGTCTCGGAATTGTAACTCTCCCGCAGGACATCAGAAAACCCCGAAACAACTAGGGTGATTAACATGTGATGCGTGCAAGGTATGTCCAGGGAACTCTTTATTAGTTGTTCTTATGGCATGCATTACTTTAGTTGTTAAAGACAATAATGAGGGAAAATATACAAACCAAAAAAAATCGAGGTATAATTTTATAAAAGAGACAATTAACATTAATAAGGTAAAAAACAAATAAATAAAAATATTTTGAGATAAAAAAACACACATAAGATGATAAAATCTATCATAACTTATTTAATCGACTTGAAATCGTTTTTTCTGATATAATTTAAACTTATTATTTCTAATCAGATATGAAGTAAGTAAAATAAGTAAAAATAAGGTGAACTACTTGTTTTGGGGTTTTCTGATGTCCTGCGGGAGAGCTACAATTCCGAGACTGGAACCGGACGCCTGTACCTGCAAAATAACGGAGACTCCTGAGAGCTCCGCCTCCAACGGTCAAGTTAGTACCTGATTAAGGAGTAATTAACACAGAAATTAAAGTAATAAGGTCTCTCTAGGTGAGAGTATTTAATGTGGGTAATCTGCTTTGCTAGCGAGATCAGCCGGTTATTAGTGTGTTCCGTAATGTTTCTCCTCTGTTCTGTTAATTATTCCGTCCCTTGATTAATGAGGATTAATCGAGTATTTATAGCCTTGGGAAGCGTGCAACTCTCTAGGTTTAAGGTAAACCTAGGGCCGATCGGGCTTCTAGACTGAAATGGGCCTTGATGGCCGGTTGTCCCATTTGGCATGGGTGGACACGTGGCGTGTCTTAAGTGGTCCGTGGAGGACGCGTGGCGGAACCTGGTTGGTCCACTTGTCAAACGGCGCTTGGTGGATAAAAATCCCCTAATCACTACTTATTACATTTAGGCTCCATTCATTTCACCTTATTTTTGCTGAACTAAAATTATTTTTACTTAACTGAAATTATTTTTTCTAAACTTAAATTATTTTTACTGAAATGAAATTAATTTTTTTTATTTTTTTTGAAAGAAAATGAAATTAATTTTTATTGAACTTAAATTATTTTTACTGAACTGAAAAATTATTTTTACTGATTATTTGTTATAATGTCTTCTCAAAGGTACTGATTTTTACTGAACTGAAATTATGTTTATTGACCTGAAATTATTTTTGCTGAATTGAAATTATTCTACTGATTATTTATTTTTATTTTTTTCTTAATTTATTTTTATTGAACTTAATTAGCCGAAGTAAGGCCCTATTCACTTCACCTTATTTTTGCTGACTGAAATTATTTTTTTTTAAGGTCCCATTTGGCAAAAGTAGCGGCAGCTGTTAGCTGTTAGCTTTTAGCGGTCGAGTAGCGAGTAGCTGCTAAGGTAGCGAGTAACTGTCAATTAGTAGTGGTTAGAGGCTAGCTGTCAAAGTAACGGTTGATAGTATGAGTGTTTGAAAAAAAGTAGCGATTGCAATACTAAAATATATCAAAAATCATATAATATTATTTAAAAAGTAATAAAAAATTTGCCAAACGCTACCCGCTACTTCTAAATGCTACTATTTTTAACGTTTGAAAAAAACTACCTAAACGCTACCTCTATCGCTATTTGCTACTGGAATCATTACCTTGCCAAGCACTCTCAAATTTTCTCAAGTAGTGTTTTGACTAGTCATAACGCTAACCGCTACCTCAAACGCTACCACTAAACAGGACCTAAATTGAAATTAATTTTGCTACACGTAAATAATTTTTACTAAATTGAAATTATTTTATTGATTCTCTATTATATTCTTCTTCAAAGTTACTGATTTTTACTAAATTGAATTTTTTAAGTAAATAATGAATAATGTTTTTTAAAGGTGAAATAAACAAGCCCTTGTTCATGTTAATTTTTTTTATACTTTGGATTAAACAAGATAAAATAAGGGTCTGTTCTCATACGTTTATTTTCAGTTCAGTTCGGTTCAGTTCAGCTCAGCTCAGTTTAGTTCAGTTCAGCTCCTAATTTCCTTCTCTTATAAAATATTCAGTTCAATTTAGTTCAGCTCGGTTTAGTTCAATTCAGTCCAATTCAGCTGATTTCAGTCTATTAGAACAAACCCTAAGTTAAAATATGATGAAAAAAAATATCCTAATAAAAAGTTATCAATAACTTTGGTTATATGCGAACCATCATATTTTTCCATAAATTTTTGATATTTTTGGAATCAAATCAATAATCTATAATAACTTTCAAATCCATAATAATTTCCATATTTCACAAGAAAATATATTTTTTTAATTTTTAATTTTATCCTAGGATCATCAGTTAATTATGTACTCCATAGTCAATACTCCTACAATATGAACAAGTCAATCCAAAAATGTAACTTCCCATTATATACGGATATAATAATCGTGTCGATAATATAATTTCAATAAGATATGTTAAGAAATAATCCTAATTGCTTAAGACAATTTCCAAAAATAAAATTTAAAAACGACTCGATGTGTCTAATGACTCATCAATCAATCATCCTAAACCTAACATTTAATCCACCAAATCAACAATTCAAAAAAAAAAAAAAAAAAAAGAAAAAATCCATCAAATTAAACCTCAAAAAATAAAAATAAAAAACAATAAAAATCATCATTAATTTATTCCCGTCTAACATGGGGCAAGCAAGTGGATAAGTCTAATGGATAAGAACACCACATCGTGTCCTTTTTCTTTTTTTATTTTATTGCAATTAATATTTATTTCTACCATTTTTATTTTCTTTTACATAAATCTTTTGGATTTTTATCTCACACCCTATATTTTTTTTTTTTTGAGAATATATCTCACACCCTACATTTATCCTCAAATTATCCCACTTTTCTCCTCTCTTTCTCTCTCTTAAAAATAAAATTATGTTAGTAAACTTTTCTTCTTTACTCTTCTTCTTCTTCTTCAACATTTCCTCCAAAATATAATAAAAATCCCAACTTTATTATATTTTCCAAAATTATTTTTATTATTATTTCATTATTATCTATAAATTATCCAAAAAAATCATGTCAATTGCTTTGGGTAATAATCGGGTTGAACAGATTTCAAGTGGGTATTTACGGCGGAATAACAAAATGTCTCCGCCGTATAATCTGCCGTCGATTTTAGATTCCGGCGATCGGACGGCGATAAGGGTGGTTGTGAAAGAGGAGGAGAGAGAAAATGGGTATTCAGATCCATGCAGTTCTTCATCTTCTTCGATTGGAATGAATAGTGATGATGAAGAAATTGATGAAGAAAATGAAGTTGAAAGTAAATTAAATAATACTTCGTTTGATTCTGCTGTTGATGCTTTAGAACAAGCTTTACCCATCAGGTTTTTTTCTTAATTTTTTTATTTATTTTGGTTGATTTTGATTTTATTGATTTGGGGTTTTGTTAAAAATTTGATCTTGCTTGTTTATTACAGTACTTTTTTCATTTTTTTAATTAATTTACTGTATTGAATGAAGTTTATCCTGTAAAATTGAAGTGATTTTTTTTTCCTGGGTATTTTGGAATTAAAGTTAATTTTTTGTGATTTGCTTTGATTTGATTTTGTTAGATTTGTTTGGTTTGATTGATTGTCTTATTGAGTTTTATTGTATGATTAGAGTTGATTAAGCTGTCCTTTTATATTTTCCAATTAGTTCTTAATTTGGTTGCTGGTCTGAATCTGAAATGGGGCTGAATTGTTTTAATTGTCGTGTTATTTTATTTTTCTTTTTCTTTCAATTGGGTAGGTTTAATTAGAAAAATTGAGTGTTAATTTTGTGAAATTGGAGTTAAATTCTGATAGAATTGAAGGGTTACTTGAAGTTAGAATTTTGCTGATTTAGAACAAGTTGAACTGATAGTTAATTTTGTGGTTGAAATTTTACCTATTTGATAACAATAGTCAAAATAAAGGTGACAACTTTACTACATAATCAATTAATTGATGTTTAGTAAGGTACTAAGGTGTTCTATCTATACCCCAGAATTTGGACTGGGAATTCACAATCAAATTGAGATCTTTGAAGTGATAATGTCCTTCATTTTGATTCTTCTTTGTGAATTTGAAAATGAAAATTACTAGGAATCCTTCTAAATGATTCTGATTCGACGCGGCGAAAAGATTTAGTATAATTTCATATTGGGTATTGTTTAATCCATTGATTCTGACCATTTATGGTCTAAATGGTCACTACTAATTTGAAGAGCATCCATCAAAATGCTTCAAGGAATGATGCCTTCTTAAGAAAAGGTCTTCAAAGAATATTATTTTTGAGGAAAAGAACTTTCAATGCCTCATTTTAGGCTCTATTATTGCTCATATTTGGTTGTGTTTTGTTCTTTTTTGTTTTAAATAACGTTGCCTGTTGTTGAATGGTATATATTCTTTGAATATTCTCTAACATGTTTGAAATTATTTTTCCAATTTTGCAGGAGAGGAATATCCAATTTCTACAATGGTAAATCAAAGTCATTTGCGAGTTTAGGTGATGCAGCTTGTTCGTCTATCAAAGAGATTACGAAACCAGAGAATGCTTACTCAAGGAAACGTAAAAACCTTCTTGCATATAATCTTCTCTGTGACAATGGCAGGACATCGTTGTTGAAAGGAGGTTCCGGGATTGGAGGTGGCATAGCGAAAAGACCAACCAACTCTAGTCGGAGCACACTAGCACTAGCTGTCGCTATGAAAAATTGTGAATCTTATGCCAATGAAGATGGTTCGGTTACTGAAACGAATGGGAGGAGCGAGGCGAGGAACACTTCCCCCTCCTCACCGTTATCTCCTCTGCCTCCTGCGCCTTGGCGGTCTTTTTCCCTTGCTGATTTGCAGCATTGTGCTGTTAGTGCTAGTGTTGTGAACTCTAACTTATCTTCCCCTTTAATTGGTAAAAGAAATAAACATGATGAAGTATCTTGACAGATAAATGTAGGCTTTTGTTAATGACAATTAACAATCATATATAGTAGGCAGTGTTCAACCTGCATGTTGACTTTTATGCACAATAGTATTAGTATTCGAGGCAAAATCATCTGTTGAAAGTGCTTATTTAGCTTGATAAAAGGGTTAAATATTTGACAAATTATCTAATTCTAGGATTACTACTTGTAGAACTAGTTCAAGTTCTATCAACCTGATTAACCGTTCAAAATTTGAAATCATATTATATAGTGCTTGAGTTTCTTGTATTTTCATGCTTGATAATAATGCATATTTCAACTATCAATACTTTGAAGTTTCGATAAGCTCTTTAATTGTAAATCACCATATTATATAATATATAATGAAAAAAGTGTGAAGATTGTGAATAGTCTAAAACTCAAATTGTTACAACTTTTAAGACATGAAGCAAGTATTACAAGATGATATGGAGTTGAGAGTTGAGAGCAATTATCATAGACATTTTTATGGGCATATCTTACCAAAATAATGTCGGGGGCAAATAATTGTTTTTTTTTTTTTTTTTTTTTTTTTTTTTTAAATAAGGGCAAATAATTGTTTCAATCGGATGATAAGGGAATTGGTCTAATTCTATTTACAACGGATTAGTTCAGGAAAATAAAATTTTGATGAGCAATATCCAAGTTCAAATTACTATAAAAGTCTAATAAGTTTTGATTAAATAAGTTTAGATAAGTGAAAATAGAGTGAATAAAACACACTATAAGTAGAGATTTCAAATTCAGACCTACAATAGTTGTTGGGAGAACTTTTACTTTATTTAGGCTTGGCTTGACTTAGATCTTATTCAATCAAAGTTCATATATTCTAAATTACCAATAAAATAAGCAATTAAATCACGAACGGGAAACGTTAGATTTTAGTTACTTTGCTACTTGTTCCTTTCTTAATCCCAACTCATATCAAACCGCGAAGAACATTTAACCATATCATCCTTCTCTCTTACAATAATTTCTTATCCTTATCACACCATTATCTCCTTAATCCATATTTTTCATACCAAGCGTCACATCATGACAATCTTTTTGCATGTTACTAGAACAAACATATGCCATGTTACATGCATACATCCAGGTGTATATGGACTTTTTACCTTACAATCAAAGACTTGAAGGTGAAGATCACAAAGTTCATCAAGTTAACTATTCTTGCTATGCATAGGTAAACTAAATTGATGGACTCATACTAGAATAGTTCTATAACAAGTTGCCTCAAGGATTGAAATGTGAACCTAACACAACATCAGACAAGTAAAGTGCTTTTTAGACTGCTTTCCTATTTAGTGGCTTATCTAGTATCTTATCTTGTATATTTATCCTACAAATTAACTATTTTAGTAATTTATAAAGGTTACTTGATAAAAGAAGAAACCAAATGTATTCTTTTTCACTTTTTTTGGTAGCCAAATCGAAATAGGTAATAGGTTGTTCATGTTTAAACTGACAATCTCGTGTTCCACACATCTTTTAGTTAAACTAAACTCAACTCAACCTATTCACGTTAAATCAAATCAAACGTAATCGTATTCAATTGTACTGGTAATAAGGCTAAATTAGATGAAAAGCATAAGCTAAATGTTAGATAAAACGCTAACAGAAAATTCCCCTCAGATGGAGAAACCAGATGTTTTTTTATCAAATGCATTAATGCATTACTGCATATAGTTGGGACTTATTTCAAACAAGCTAATGAATGTAGAACCAAGAACGGATATATTTCTAGTACAAACAACTTCAAATAATGCTAACAAAGCATCATCAACCTTAGTCGCTTCTAGGATTTTTATTACAGTAGATTATGTGCACAAACAGGTTCTACTGAACAAGTTACAAGCTCAGAGACCAAAACATGGTGTAAATGAAAGAATGCAAGTAAGATCCTATTTCATACAACCTAGTGAGGTTTAATAACGTCTTTTTATTCATCAGGAGCTGAAATGAAGCTTCATTAGTACCAAGCATATCCGAACTTCCCTGATATTGAATATGCCAATATTTACATTAGAATCATACACCTATTCTTCTACAAAGTAATGCGCCTGCAATACCTACGTATATGTACAGACAAATGACAAGTAAATTACAGATCTGATGTATGAACACTAGATACTACATCATTTATAAGGCCAGCCATGATAAAAACTACGGTCAACCTTGATTTTCACTATGTGGAACCGAAATAAGCATCACAATATTGACAATTCCCAACACAAATTTACTTCGCCCAAACCTGCAAACCCTTTCCCCCTTTACAAAATAGGACTTTGCTATGGAAGACCACGGAAGAAAGGATTTGCCAATGATGTACCATTATCTTGTTATGATTTATCCCGAGTAAGTGTCTTCCCTGTTGTCTTCCATGTACAAAGTTGTACAAGAATAGGTGCCGTGAGCTCTGAATACAGAACTAGATCATACCTCAGAAAGTAACGCTGTTGACTCAAGCAGCAGCAAGAGGTGTCAAACAAGTTTCTGTAGTACCATCGAGTAAGAACTTAGCAGCAGGAACATTTGATAGGCAGGCTGGGATTTTGACATCCATTGGATCTGTAGCTGGGATGGCTTTTGATATATCTTCGGTAGAAAAGGGTATGCTGCAGAAGAAATCAGAAATAAACACAAGGTCAATCGGCAGCAATACATAATTTCATATCAGATCAGCAAGGAAGTTCACAAGTTAACCATAATGCCAGAAAGATTTCGGCTAATTCAATATGGTATGCGACTTATGGTTTACTGTAAGGTTGATTTACTGTCAATTCAATACTATGATCAGAAAGAGAGTGCTTTAGTAAACTCTGAATTTGCAGTCAATGCTTCCTGAGTTAGGACTTGTTCTCTTCAACTTGTTTTAGATACTTATTACTTATTCCTTAATAAATTCATATCATATCAGATCAGATCAAACCAGACCAAAAACATTCAGATCAGATCAAAAATTTTAATCATCATTTACTTATTGCTAAATATCGTTAATGGCGTATTAAAAAAATTTATGAAAATTACATATTTGAAAAGTTCATAATGAGATGAATCTAACAAGACCTATTTTGATAATGTTTTTTCTTTATAGATTAGTATTAAAATGCGGTCAAAGTTTAGTCAAATCATTGAATCAAATTAGATCAAATCAATCAGACAATTCAGATCAGACCAAACCTTATAAAATCAGCCTAGATCTCCTTGTTTCAGGTAAAGAGAACAAGTTCTTGTTCAAAGACTTGGTACAGTAATTGCCTATAGGTGGTAGCCTACAGAACAACTCAAGGCACTTTGGACTTCACCCTTGAAGACCAAAAGCCAAATCGATGTCTAACAATATAGTGACTCGATTCAAAATGGAGAAGATTATTTAGGATTGTGGGAGTAGAGCCTCAGTTATCCCAAGCTCTACTCACTTTCCGTTTTCATCTATATTAATTGAGTTTTGCTATATCCCCTTCATGATAAAATAGTTATTCGGATCATCTCCTACAGGGCCATACATGTAGTGACCCTACAACGTAAAAAAGTTCCTCCTCTCACAAGAGTGGTGCATTAATCCATCTTAAAGGTTTTCATCCCAAAGGTTAAAGTACCCACATAAGTGGTGCATTGTTTCTGTTACTACAATTTGTCCCAATTAAATTGGCTAACTATTCACATACGTTTATCTCAATATTATTCTCACACTTTTATGAACTGGATCCCCTTACAATTTATCATTTCTCTTTTCCCAGAATGAAAGTCAGGATATTAATTGATTTGGAATGGTAGTATAAAAGAATTGTATTTTCGGTGAGAGAAATTGGCATTGTGGTGTGTTACTGTTCAACATATGTAGCTAGCCAATTGAAGAAGCTTAGAGTGGTAAAGTTTTTGGTGATCATATTGAAGTCACCGAAGGAAGGACCAGGTTCAATGAATGACATAAAAAGATATGACAGTTTCATTTGTTAGATCATGAGGGGAGGGGGACAAAAAGATATGACAGTTTCATTTGTTAGATCATGAAGGGGGGGGGGGTGTTCAACTGGGACATATTATACCCAGCACTCCAGCAGCTCAACTATAACAACGTTCAGAGTGAATTAAACTGCAAAAAGCACATATACCTTAAATCATCATCCAGCAAGAATGAGTTTGTAGCTAGATTCTGGTTATCTTTATTCAACATCTCCCTCATTTGAGCCACCACCTGACAACCAAAGCCAATTTAATAAGCCCACAATACTTTAGTTTTACATGTTCGGGACACAAAACTATTGCCAAGCTCATGTACATTTTCAAAAAAAAATCTTTAGACAACATGCCAGACAACAAGTCAGATGATATAACATTTACAATATTAATCCATTTGTTGTAGCCAAAACATGGGCAGTATCATTTAAACAGAAAGAACCAGGAATGCAGCTAACCTCATTGAAACACTTTGGGTGCCATATTTATCATCCCAGTACATAGTGCTTATTCTATAGATTTGTCTTACAGTTAAGGCCTGAAAAGAGGTAAACAGATATTTTTCCACCAAAATCCAATGTCAAAATGAATAGTGAAGCAAGACCCGGTTAAAAACGGAAAATAAAACTATAAGAGGAAAAGATCTGAATACAAGTCTAAAAGGGTAAAGGATCATACTGGGCATAAATCCTGCTTAATCTCTTCCAAAGACTTCTTCCTCTTTTGATGTATTACCTATAGATTATTAATGAGTATTCTACAAGTCAATACATTAGAAATCTTAATAGACCCAGATGCAAACAAAAACATACTACAACTACTACACAAAACATACCAGGAAACCAACGGCTTGTCTGATATAGTTCAGCTCATGCCAGGCAGTCCCAGCAAACTACAATACCGTCAGTAAAGAAATTTCAGTATGACATAGCCACTCTATTAAGTAAAGATCAAAAATTGAAAGGAAGAGCCAAAAGGGGCCTTTACCTCATCTGTCACACATGCAATCCATTTTTCTAGTTCAGCCAAACCAGATTTTACATATTCACCATTCGAAAAAGTGCAGCATTCACGTCGCAGTAGTAGACTGCAAAACATTTTCTTTAGCATAAAAAGCAGAACTACGTCTGTAACAGCCAAAGACAAACTATAAAAGTACATACCTATTGAAGAGATTAATGTTGATAAAAGAGAAAACCTGGGTAATGAGCTTGCGGATAAAAAAGGAGGGTACCTAAAACAAGTTCCAAGATCAGTATAAAAATTTAGCAGACAATTGCATCCCCCCCCCCCAAGCACACACACACACGCATGCACGCACACACACGCACGCAAACACACACACATGCACGCGCGCACACATGCACGTGCACGCACTCTTCCTCCATTTCATTTTAGTTGACACATTTCTTTTAGACATGGTATCCAACACACAACTTCATGTATTAATATCTTAATTATGTATAAGCAAAAAATATACTTCCTCTATTTTTTTATTATTGCACCATAGGGGTTGGGTACAAATATTTTGATAGTGGAAAAAAGTAAGAGAGAGAAAGATAAAAATACAAAATTGCCCATGTGACATATTGATAAACTAAAAAGTAAGTGTGAAAAAGCAAGGGTATGTTGGGTATTTGTAGTGTGAACACAAATAATTTTTTTTCCAAAAGAGGAAATGGTGCAATATTTGTGAAACTTCCTAAAACAGCAAGTGGTGCAATAATAAAAGAACGGAGGAAGTATTAGTTTTATGATTGGAAAATAGACATTAAAATGAAACTATGAATCTAACAAGACCCCACATGACTTTTGTTTTTTTAAAAATAAACCGCCAATAGAAGTCAAAGTAACTATTGTGAAAAGTGCCAAAAAGTAAAAATTGTGTCAACTAAAAAGATATAGAGGGACATGCATCATCTCTCTTCAATTGTCAATTATGCATTGGGAATGTCATTGATGTCAGTCTTATTCCATTTTAAACAGCATAAAGTTGATTTTTAAGTAAATGACTCACGAGGGATATTAGCAATAAGGATAAGGACAACAATCGCCACATACATGATTTTTATGTAAATGACTCATGAGGGAATCCAAGAATTGGATGATGCTATCCCATTGATTACTCGTCAGCTGCTGTGGTACACCTCCAGGTGATCTGGATGACTTTCCACCTCGTGCAGTTTTTGGAGCCTACAAAAAATACTTCAGTAAATTACCAATTAACAATCAACAAAGAAGACTTATATGCTGTCTTAGGACCACAACTACAGAGGGGCATATACACACATGTATGCAAACTCCTAACAAAGGAGATATTTCTTTCTTCAAATTATCACGAATCAAGCCAAATATCTTCTCAACAGACGCAGTCAACTGTTGCTTAAACAGGATCGCTGGATATCTTGCTTCAATGTGCGATACACCATCATCAAACCCAATAAGCTTCAGGGAGTCTTCATACCCTATCATACAAAAATTGAGCATAAATCAAGAAACTTGAATATAGATAACTATTACTTCGTATTATTCATAATTCTAATTATCCTCTTCGTATTCAAATAATGTGCCTATTCAAATTCTATATAGGCTAAATCATAGTTTCCCTCCTAATATGATCTTAAGGCTTTCATGAACAGGCCCAATAAATGGAAGGGATCTGCAACTCTCATTCTAAATAAACACCCCACACTTGAAAAACAATAATTCTTTCCAGATAGAAGCCTCAAATTTGAAAAGTACAGAAAGTAAATTCCCATTGTAGCATCTTTTTTCCCACATACCAATCTGGGAACAGCATTGAATAGGAAAAAGCTGAGTCACAAAAGATTCATTTAAAAAAGCCATTTAAAAACTAGTTACCAACAATGCACTTACTTGTGCAAACCTTCCACTTATACCAGCAGATCCAGCAGCTCGATTGGAAGCTGAATTCAAGAAACTATTTGACCTTAAACACCTCTGAAGGATGCATAAAAGTGCGGATACATTAGATAGCCAATAGGGTAATGTGTCATTCTCATCCCAACCTGAAAGCATTATGTGAAAGAGGAATCAATCAAAAAATGCAGAGAAACCAATTTCAGGTATCATCTAGAATTAGGTAAAGATGAGACAAATCCCAGAAATCTTACTTCAAGGCATTATTGATGCCCTCAATAATATGGTCAAATATGGCTGTCCTCTCTGATTCAAAGGCGTGCCAGTGAAGAAGACATTTATAGATGACACAAGCAGCCACAGGTTTATTATCTTGGAATCCCATATTTTCTTTGATGCATTTAGAGAGGAATTCATAATTTTCCTGCAAAAACAAGACAGCAGTTTAAGCACTAAAATGATTAGAAGAATATGTTCTGCTTTACCACATTGGTTATGAAATGTTCACTCGTGGAAAACAAAAACTTTAATCATGACTAATATCAACCTGGTGCTTTTCAACAGTTTGTTTTGACCAACGTGACTCTGATAGTCCTGGAGTAATTGAAATATGTTTTGTTGGTGTGGGTGTCTCCTGTTCAAATCAACCCTTAAGCATAAACACATGTAACTATATCAGAAAGCTTCAAATTGAAAAGGCAGCTACAGTAGAACTTACATAGATGGGTTTCTTTTCCTGATATGGAAGACTCAATGCACTTGAGTACATCTGGGGAAACAACAAAGTGGTGAAAACATCTCAATACAAAGCATGTAAAATCTACAAGACAGTATATGAAAGCAGCATGAAGTTTCACAGCTGAAAAATGGTATGGTCACAACAATACAATTATACACAAAAACGATAATTTAGTGCAAACTTTCAAAATTTTGTTGAGCATACTGTGCAAACGATAGTAGTAGATCTAAAACAAAAGTTCCATAATTCGGTTTTGCTTACACAACACAACTAGACTTATGATTTTTCCAAATACAATGTTAAACATTTTAAAATGCATAAAAAGCTGAGAGCCTATACTTACATCAGAAAATGATTTCACAAAACCTGGTCGATTTCTCTTCGGGACATGTTCAGTGCTTTTGCCGCAACACAAGATTTTCATTCTCCAAATTTGACACCTTGTCCTCCATACTACAGCAGAAAAATTCATTGTATTTGTCAGCACTAATTAAAAACAATATAGAGTAGATGATACCAAACAGAAAGAAGCCTGAAATAAGTGGGTGAGAGAGTAATAAACCAATACAGCAGCCGAACAAGGTACCACCACTACCCACCAAACGAGGAATTGGGAAGCTTAAATAAAAGACTAGAGGAAAAATCAATTTAATATAAAAATGTATCATCATTCAGAGGCGGCGAGCATCATTTACCAAAATTCCAAAGATACTAAAGACAAACTTAATCATATGGTCTTTCTTCAATCTCGTCAACTAAAAAAATTGATGCGCAAATAAATAAGCATCCAGATCTTTAAATAATCAATAGCAAATAACATAAATATATAAAATGCTAACAAGATAATTTAGTGTGCCAGATAATTTTCATATTGTTCCCGGAACTATTTCTTTAACAAAACATAAATTACCTATAATTTTTGTAACATGTTCTGTTTTTGCCGTTTCATAAATCATAATGTTACTTAACAGAAGGTGGAGGGGGAGGGGGGGGGCATTTATGTTGAGAGTTTGAGACTAACAACTAACAAACAAATAGTCTGATTTAACAGCTTTCTGCCTACAGTTTTAATGTATGGTATATATAACATTATAGCAAGAAGGGTTAAAACAAAACCGAATTTGTAAACGATATGCTATGCAACCAAGATATGTAAATGCATCTCAATAGTATACTTTCAAATACCAAAGTCACGATATGGACCTTCGCAAGTTTTGTTGCAGTTGTTCACACTTTTGTTCAACATCACGCAACTTTTGCATGTATGACTATTCTCTTTTCTGAGCACTAGCCAGCTGAGTCTCCAATAATAAATTCTTCTTTTTCCAAATTTTCTAAAGAGCTCTGCAAAATGTTTAAATCATAATATTTAACCACAGGTACTTGAAACTAAGATGATATAATTAAAAATTAAAGGCAATGAAAGGAAAACATGTAATGTTTAGAATTACAGAGCATGCCTGTGTAAAAAAAGGTAAAACATATTATTCACAACTATTAAGTTTTTTCTAACATAAGTTCCAAAAGAAATAAACATGAAATATTTTAAGAAAGTAATGAAAAAAAAAACCCATCTGCAATGTCTCTGGTCTACTCACTTCTTCCCTCATCCAAGAACCTACAGTTTTACTCACCTCTTG